CCCGCCACCAGGCCCCCATAAATAGCTTCGCATGGTCCAGCCACTGGAGGGAACCACAGAGCCCCACGGCTGCATCCACCCATCCTCCAAACATCCCAGGTACCCCACCCCCACTGCCCAGCCCCCATAGCTACCCCCCCCCCGTCCATCCGTCCATCCATCCCCCGCTCTCCGCGCAGGCTGGGGCTGGGGCACAACGCCATCCGGATGATCGAGAACGGGAGCTTGGCCTTCGTCCCAGCGCTCCGGGAGCTGCACCTCGACCACAACCGGCTCTCCCGCGTGCCCTCCGGGCTGCCCGGCCTCCGCTTCCTGCAGGTGAGGCTGGGGCGCCCCCCGGTGGCGGGATCGCCTCTCTGGGCCGCCCAGAGGGTTCAGGGGGCCTGGGGCAAAGCGGGCGAGCTGCGGTGCTTGTACTCACCCGGTGGCGGTCCGGGTCTTCGGCGGCATTTCAGTGGTGGGGGGCCCTTCAGCCGCTCCGCGTCCTCGGCAGCACTGAAGGACCCGCCACCGAAATGCTGCCGGAGACCCGGAGCGCCGCCCGGTGAGTAAAAAGGCGCCTCTAGCCAGGAAAGGGATTCTCGGCCATGGCTCGCAGGGCCCCTGTGGGGCCCGGGGCCTGGAGCAAATTGCCCCTCTTTCACCGCCCTCTGGGCGGCCCTGGGCAGAGGGGCTTATTGGAAAATCTCCCCCTCCCTTCCCATAAGACTGGGGGAGCCCCCCCATGAACCCCTTTCTTGCCTCCCTCTGATGGGGGGGCTTGGGGGCTCTAAACTCTCCTGTTCAGCCCCCACTCTCCCTTCCCCCAGGTGGGCATTAGGGGGTTAATGGGGGGGATCTGTGCTTTTGGGGGACTGTGGGGGAATCTGAGGGGTTGAGGGGGCTGGGGGGTTCTGGGGAGTTGGGGGGCTGTGATGGGGAGTCAGGGGGGCTGTGATGAGGGGGCTGAGGGGATGCGATGGGAAGTCTGGGGGTGTGATGGGTGGGGGGCCTGGGGGTGCTAGCTGACCTCCCCCTCCCCCCAGGTGGTGTACCTGCACGCCAATGACATCACGCAGGTGGGAGTGAACGATTTCTGCCCCGTGGGGTTCGGGGTGAAGCGAGCCTATTACAACGGAATCAGTCTCTTCGGGAACCCGGTCCCCTACTGGGAGGTGCAGCCGGCCACCTTCCGCTGCGTCACCGACCGCCTGGCCATCCAGTTCGGCAACTACAAGAAATAAGGGGGCCGGGGAGGGGGGCGGGGGTGCAATGGGGGGGAGCCGGGGGAAGTGTAGGGGGACTAGAAGGGGGCAGCAGGGGGTCTGGGGGTGCAGGGAGTGGGGAAACCAGAGGCCCATTGGGTCCAGCGCTGTGACCCCATTACCTGCCATGCCGGGGGGGCAGCTCTAGCATCGACTCGGTAACCCACAGAGGGTCGGGGGGCAGATGGGGCCCCTGCCATGTAGCTTCAAAGCACATGTGCCAGCGTCGGTAGGATCGGGGCCACTGGGATCTTACTGCCAATCCTTGGAAAGTTTACCAACCCACCCCCCACAACTACCCCCGGGACCGTTTGCCCCCCAAATCATGAAAACAGGGTGGAAAGGTTGAGGGCTCGGCACCAAACAGGTTAGAATTTTGCAACTTGCGGGGGGGGGGGGGCCCCCAAAGGTGACAAAATCTCACAAGAGAATTGCAAACAAATTGACAAAGAAAATCTTGAAACCATCAGGGAGAAAATGTTGGGGGGGAAATGGAGAAAATTTGTAACAATTGTGGCAACAAAACCCAAAAAATCTTCGCAAGCTTGCCTGAGTGTGCAGGAGAATTTTGCTGGCTGACTTCTTTGCAAATTGGCGAGAAACGGCAAAGAGATTAGAACCCAAAGCCATGGAGATTGGCAGCCCAAAGCCATGGAGATTGGAACCCAAAGCCATGGAGATTATTGAACATTTTTTTTAAACACATCTGCATGAATGTTTTGCCCTAAAAGCGTCATGGAAAAATTGTAAAAATTTTGCAAGAAAGTTCTTGCCACATTTGCATGAAAATGTAAGAAAAGATTGAAAAAAAGGAAAGTCATGAAGAAAAGTGCAAAAAATGTTGCAAGGCAATTTGTAATACATTTGCATACACATGCATGAGCTTTGCAACAACAACAACAACAAAATCACCCCATAATTTTGAATGAAAATCCAAGAGCATTTTACCCCCCAAAAATTAAATTTTGCATTCAAGTACAAAAGTATTTTGCAAAAAAGTCATTGGGAAAATTGCAAAAGAAAATGTATAAATTTGCATGAGAAAGGAAAAAATTGCTAATGCTGTCATGCAGAAAATGGCAAATATTTTGAAAAAATCTTTAATACATTTGTATGAAAATGCATGACAGTTTTGCAAAAACAGTTATTAAATTGGCAATAAAACGCAACAAAGTCACAGAGAAAATTGCAAACATTATTTTCAATATATTTGGAAATTTGCATGAAAACTCAAAGATATGCACAAAATGGCACTCCCCAAAAGTCAAGAAGAAAACTGAAAACGTTTTGAAAAATAAATATAAAACACAATCTGTAACAATTTACGAGAAAAAGTCATCATGAAAATTCGGGACAAAATTTGCCAACGATCGCTGAAAACATTGCAAAACATGTGGCCGAAGATCGTGCAAAATGTGCATAACGACTTGTGAAAATTTTGCAAAGGCAAAAACGTGGAAAAGACATGACGAAATCGTGCAAAACTGTTGCAGAAATATCCCACCCCCAAGTGGCAAACATTTTGCATACAAAGCACGCTCCATTCTTCACTAATTAGTGCCAATATTTCCTGCTAAGTTCTCCGACACGCGTGTGCACAACTCCCTGGCAATGTACCAATCTCGCAAGCCACCGGACATCCCCCCCGGGAAACCAAAGCACCAGCTGACGGTTTCTGCTCCCACACGCGTGTGAGCCGCCTGGTCCTGGTGCCCGCAGCCCGGGCGAAGGGAAGGCAGCGCTCAGCGGTGGAGCCAAGAACTCGGAGTGGGACTTGCTGGTGCCTGTGGGGGGCAGGGTTTGCAGCCCTGCTTCTTTGAAGACCCTCGGGGGGCGTGGGTGTGAAATTTCCCGCTTTGCACACGTTTGCTGCCTCATGGGTTTTTCCTTCTTCTTGTTCCCGAAATGCATGGGCGCGGCCTGCTCCAGCCCTGCTCCTTGAGACGCGCCGGTGCTTGAAGGCCCGATTCTCTCCCGTGGCAGCCACGATTTGGTGGGACGAGGGCACAGGTGGGCCAGGACCCTGCCAGGCAATGGGGAGAGTGCACCCCCCAGGGCGGGGGGCTAGACGGCCAGGGACGATCCTGATGGGTACGTGTAGGATGGGGTGCCCAGAGGCTCCCCACCACCCTCAGAGTTCACCCCACCCCCTTAGTGCCCAACCCCCAAGCCCTGGATTTCCACCGCGCCCCGGGGCTGGGCAGGTGGGACTGGGAACAGGACCCCCAGGCAACCCGAGCTGCGAGCCAACCCCTCCCCCACCGCGGGTGTGATTGTGTGTAACGTCGTGTGCAATAGAAACGCCGAGAACGGCGGCTAATAAAAGTTAGCGTCGGGTTCAGCTGCGCCTCCTGCATGGCGTGTGTGGGGCTGTGGGAGGGGGGCAGGGGCCTGTCGCCTCTGGGGGGGCGCCAGCTCCCATCGGCCCCAGGGCAGGGACTGGCTGGCTGGGGCACATCTCCATGGATGGCATCCAGCCCCCAGCTTTTCCAGTATGGGGGGCCCGGGGTGCTGGGATGTGGGAACCAGCACGAAGGGCAGACGGAGCCGGGGCCAGGGGCTTTGGCCCAGAAGAGAGACAGAGAGATCGCCCCAGCCCTCCGCTCCACAGTGCCCCCACTGAGCCCCACAGCCCTCCCTGCCCAGCCCCCCAGCTGCCCAGCCAGACGTCTCTGGGGCCCCGGGACCCGCCCTGCGCTCCCAGCCAGGCAAAACCCGGCTCCATCTCTAGGTTGCGTGGCCGGCGCCAGCCGAGCCGGGCCCCAGCCCCCATTAGCCGGCGGCCCCCTCAATACCGTCAGCTGGTTCGGCTCCTCGGGCCCCTGGCACCCGGCCCGGCCCCAGCCCAGTGCCAGGAGACGGCCAGGAGCCATGGATGGCTCTGCCCGATTCCGGTATCCATCCCTCCCTCCGTCTATCCCTCCGTCCCGCCCCCAGCCCTGTATCCATCCCCCATCCCCCCACAGCCCTGTATCCTTCCCACATCCCCCCTACAGCCCTGTATCCATCCCCCATCCCCCCTGTATCCATCCCCCATCCCCCCACAGCCCTGTATCCTTCCCCTATCCCCCC